GCGAGGGCCGCGTGGAGCTGTACGACGGCAGCACGTGGGGCACGGTGTGTGATGACCAGTGGGACCTGCAGGATGCCCAGGTGGTGTGTCGGCAGCTGGGCTGTGGGGAGGCCCTTGGAGCCCCACAAACTGCCCACTTTGGCCTGGGCTCGGGGCGCATCTTCCTGGACGACGTGCAGTGCCGTGGGGACGAGCCCTCCCTGCAGATGTGCAGGCACAACGGCTGGGGAGTGCACAACTGTGGGCACGTGGAGGATGCCAGTGTCGTCTGTGCAGGTGGGTGTCAGTAAAGGCAGTTGAGTCTCTGCTGGAGCTTATAGCCCAGCCCCAGTGCCCCCATCCCCTCCTCCCTGCGGTCCCATCTTGATACCCTGTGTGCCCCAGGGCCTTTGTCATGAGCAGCACATTTCACTCGTGTCTCTTCTTCCTTCACACCCACAGCTTCTGCGGCCACCACACCAGCACCTCCATCAGGTAATGCTCTTCTGTGTCTCTTCTCACCTTTCTAATTTGTGGACTGTATCCCTTTAGCACATTTTTTTTTTTTTTAATTTGTCTTTTGCCTCTGTGACAGTATCACTTTAAACTTGTGTGATGATTCCCAGACAGGCTGTGATATCCCCTTGCCTTTCAGTGATGCTGTTTTTCCAACCATGCTGATTGGCTGTGTCAAGCCATTTCCCTGTTGGGCAATTCAGCTGGGTCAGGGCCCAGGAAACATTGTGTAAATCTCCAATTTCTAACTGCATTCATCAGCATTGCAAGAATGGTGTTCAAGTATGGCAATGTACAATCTGAGGCACTCCTGCTTACTAGAGCTGTTATGGTCTCTTTTATATTTTTGCCTTAGAAAGCAGGTTTTAGATTTAGAGCTTGACCATTCACAGTTGAAAATAATATGAAGTGAATTTTACTAGAGCCTGTCTAGTGTTATCAGAGGAAGAGTCAGTGTCTGGGTACAGCTGATGCTCCCAAGCTTGGAATAGCCTGTGAATCCCAAAATCCTGAGGCAGGGAGGCATGTATTGTACTGGTGGGTGTCTTTGTGCAGGACTATAACATGGGTTGTCACCTCTACATGTCAGATCTTGTAGAATTTAAGTTCAAAGCTTGTGTTCACCTCACTGCAGAAAAGCTTTTAGGATTATCTGTGTGTTTAACAAGTATTGTGTCATTCATGCTGGCAGGAACACAAAAGCTTTTTGCAGCTCTGTTTATAGGAGAAATGAGTTATATTTAAGACTTTCTCCAGCAGCCTGGAGTGCTTATTTCAGTCTGAGACCATAAAATTACAGAGTTTCCTAGAAGACTTGCAACTTATTTACCCTCCAAAGTCCTTAGGGGAATAAAGAGAAGCAGCAGAGTAACTGAGGGGAGGGTGTTTGCTGAGGAAGGTACTTCCATTTAGACTGTCAGGACACCTCCCAGAATCAGACCTTGACTGTAAGAAGAAGAGACCAGAGCAGAAAGCATCAAGGTGTTTCCAGCCCATCCTGAAGAGGGTAGTCTGACACCACAGATGTGACAGGGAATTCCAAATCCAACACGAAAGTAAAGGCTAAAGAAAGAAACCCAAATATTTGTTTTGATTTGGCTCATACAGAATATCACCCACAGTCAGCAGGGGACCTGCTTTTCCACAGCTACAGATGAGATGCAGAGCTCAAGTGCACTTTTGCAGAGGTTACTGTAAGTAAATTCTCTTCCATTTCTTTCTGCAGCACCTTATTATTGTGGTGGCTCAATCTCAGATTCCTCTGGGATGGTGCAGAGTCCCTACTACCCTGGAAGTTATCCAAACAATGCTGACTGCGAGTGGCAGATACAAGTCGAGAGCAATTTCCGTGTTACGCTCACATTTAGAGATATTGAGTAAGTAAAACACCGATTCCCTGTGCAAATAACAAAGTCAGAACTTACCTGAGAAGTTTGAAAACTCATCTAAAACAGGCAACCTTCTTAATTTTAAAGATACTTTCAATAACATCCGGCAGTTGGAAGACCAGATCAAAATCTAGACTACTGTAGTATTTTTCGCTCACAATTTTCTGCTACAGCTATATACAAACCAAATGAGACCCTTCCTGAAGGATTTTATCACATGTTAGGCAGTGAAATCAGAGTTTCTGGAACAGATTTAACGAGGTGCTGATGTTTTGTTCACCAGGATGCAAAGCAGCACGTGCCAGCACGACTACATTGAAGTCTATGACGGGCCTCGACACTCTTCCCCGCTTCTTGGGAGACTTTGTTCTGGTTCCTTCCCCACATTCGTGTCCTCTTCAAACATGATGACCATTCACTTTCACAGTGATTCCAGAGGCTCCTTCAGAGGCTTTCAGGCTCACTACTCCTCCATCCCAGCAGATCACAACACCAGTAAGTCCTCAGCTGGTGTTTCTCAACAGACAAGCTTATTTATTGCTTTTGTTCGCAAAATAAGTATTTGCTTAAATTTAAAGGTGTTTACAGAAATTGAACGATGAAACACGATGGGTTGGGGGGTGAACTGCCTGACTGCTAAATTAAGAAAACAACACTTGCCTCCATTACAACCTTTAATCATTAACAAACTCCTGAAGTCACTAATATATTGTACCTCCTCCTTCTGCCAGCCCTGCAGTGCCTGCCAGACTACATGCACGCAGTGGTGAGCAGGGACTACCTCCAGTCCCAAGGCTACTCAGCCCAGATGGTCACCCTGAATGACAATCGCTGCAGACCAACAATCACCTCACAGGAGGTTGTGTTCAACATTCCCTACGATGGCTGCGGGACGATACGAGAGGTGCGTTCGCCAGGGCGGGCTCTGAATTGCAGGACCCACTGCGAGGAGTGTCACAAAAAAAGGCCATTGTGGCCAGTGAGAGCTGCAGGTTTTAGTGCTTTAGCTTTCCAAGCCTTAGGGGATATCTGTGCTTAATAAGAAAGAGCTTCTGGGGAGGAAAGCATGGGAGAGAGCTATACGAATTTTCTGTGATTTAAAATAGATGTAGTCCTCTAGGTGCACAGGATTGGGATGCCTGTGTTCTACACAACTGCTGTTTGTACAGATGGTCAATGAGCTGGCTCTGCCTTGGGTTTAACAGGGTTTTTCTCTGCTGAATTCTGTTTAATTACATACCATTTACACTGTGTGAGCAGAAAAGACCAACATCAAGCTCCATTTGATTTAAAATGTGTAAGATGAACCTACATTTTTAAAATTAGTATTTAAGCTTATAAAATCTTAGAGCTTTCACGGAATGTGACAAAAAAGCAATTCCTCATTTTAAATTGCACATTAAACAGGAGAACAACGATACAATCAACTATTCCAACACGATCAGAGTCTCATCTTCTGGGCACATAATCAAGAGGAAAAAGAACATCAACTTACACATCAGCTGCAAAATGCTGCAGAAGACGTGGATGCAAGTCATGTACACTGCTGAGGACACTGTAGACGTGAATGAATATCAGTTTGGAAGATACGACATGAACATCACCTTTTATGATTCCTCAGCGTTCTCGCGGCAAGTGCGCGACTTGCCGTACTTCATCGACTTGAACCAAAATTTGTACCTCCAAGCCTGTCTTCACAGCTCAGACCCGAACCTGAAGGTGTTTGTGGACACGTGTGTGGCATCACCCGATCCTCGTGACTTTCACACTCTGGCCTATGACATAGTCAGGAATGGGTAAGAGCTTTCTTCAAGCTGTTAGAAGCGCACCTGTGATCTGCATTTATTTAAAAGAATAGAACCAGTCTGAGCTGGGTTAGAACACATTATCAGTAGACTCTTAAAAGGGGCCTTTGACTTTTTTTTTATTTTAACAGCATGAGCCTGAAAATAAGAAATTACATTTAGACCTTACTAACATTTCGTTTCAATTACTTCATTTTTGTCCTATGAGCAAAATTCAAAGTAGTGGGATAGACGTAAATGAGACAGTGAAAACTGGCAGCAGGAACCTGTAATCCTACAAGTTTAATGTTTTAGTACAGCCAGGTCAAGCATTAGATTAACTTTTTTATGACTTGCATAGCACAAATTAATATCCGTAAGAATCTGTTCTTCCTTCTTCTTATAGTGTCTTCCTCTGGGGGAAAAAAAAAAAAAAAAAAAAAAAAAAGAAGAGTTGTCAGTGCTCCAGCTCCTTCATAGGACTTACATAAATCTATATTTTTAAAGTCTATCTGCTGTGCAAGTTGCATTTTTAGCCCTTTGTTTTTAGTATCTGACTATGATATAGTTCAGTTTTAATCTATTTTATTTCTGGAGGAATGTGTCCCTGTGCATCCATGAAGACTAACCACCCTTTTTTTAATTCCTAGGTGTCCCAGAGATTCTTCCTACGCCACCTTCTACTCCCCTTCCAGCCACTTTGCCCGGTTCAAATTCAACGCCTTTGAGTTCATCAGCCGCCACCCCTCGGTGTACCTGAAGTGTGAGCTGATGGTCTGCAGGCTCGGGGACTACTCCTCCCGCTGCTACCGGGGCTGCGCTGGCAGGGCCAAGAGAGACACGAGTCCTGGCGAGGAAAAAGTGGACGTGGTTGTCGGGCCGATTCGGCTCCGGGAAGGGGCTGCTCAGAGTGGGGATACTACTAAAGCCAAATAAAGTTCTCTCGCTTCTGCTCTGAGGTGACTTCAGGCCCCAAGAAAAGCCATAGCTCTGCGTGGCTGACACCTGTCACTCAAACCTGCTTTTGCCAGCTTTGCCGTGAAAAGGAAGCGTTCAGCTCTTTGCAAGCCCCCTATTCTTACCTGCATATTTAAAATGTGTAACTGCTTTGGCTGTCCAAAAGGAGAGATTGCCTGTAACCCATTTTAGTGCTGTAACTCCTAGAATTGGACTAATTAGCTCCAATCTGCTTGTGTAATGGCACTTGGGGACATGGTTTGGTGATGGACTTGTCTGTGCTAGTTTAGTGGTTGGACTCGATGATCTTAAAGGTCTTTTCTAACCTAAATAACCCATGATTCCATGATGGCCAGCTGGGAGCTAACACCCAGCCTCCCTGAGAAACATTTCACTCCCTCAGTTGTCTTCTGCTTATGAAGCTGACTTTTAAGTTGTCATCCCTGCCAACATAAAGCCTGTCTGAATAGCTGAAAGCAGTGAATCTGTGAGATCACTTACTTCTGATTTCAGCCTGGGAACCATCCCTTTAATACAGGAGCTCCTTGTGCCCTGATCTTTAATATATTGAGATCAAACTCCACCAACTTTCACTCGAAGGGCTGGGCTCTTCTGTGCCTCCTCCCTAGGCAGTCCCCACTGCTGCTGACAGATCCTCACACTGGCTGTTAGTGCTGTTGCCATCCTGGCAGCCGCAGTTTTTTGTTCTTGATGGTTTTATTGCAAGAGCAGCACTGAAGAAACTGCTTTCACGTGGGGTAACGTCAGATCCAAGGTCAGCACCACCCACCAAATGGCTGCAGGGCAAATGTCAAGGATTCACCAGCCGCCAAAATGCCTCACTGGTGACGTGCCATTTGTAGGAAGCCACGATGTCTTTACCTGCAATGAATCCTGGCCTGCTACAGTGCTTTAGAATAGCTTTGCAATCCTAACATCTCTTAAATAATCATCTCAAATAATTTCAATAGCCATGCCACGAGTTGTTCGATACAACCATTTTATCATTTTCCTCCTCTTCAGTTCTCTTCTCACATCAGTCTAAAACCGTTTATCCAGTGCCTCAGAATTTTGTGAGCTGGACTGAAAATGTGAATGAGGTACCAATAAATACTTCAAGGTTTATTAAAAGGAAGGAAAATTTAATTTGGGGAGAATGGGTCATGTCTGGAAAGAAAATGTAAAAACTGATCTCACCACAACAACTGGAATTGTGGCTATGCAATATTCTAATTATTTTGAGCATTGCTTTTAATGCTAAATTTCTTGTTCAAATAATAATGGGACTGAGCTTATCCAATGCAGAGATTTCCAAGCCAAAAGTAATCTGTTTTGTGAGTAGTGTAATTTACAATCAAAAGAAGGAATGTTTACATAGAAATAAATCTATTTTGTCTTTCAAATTAACGTCTCTGTGCTTAAAGAAACAAACAGATGTTTTACTGTGCTGAAGAGTGTGATCTCTTGGATTAAAAATTCCAAGCGATGGAGTATTTGACTTTCCAGTATTTGACATTTTGCCCATCAGTTGTGTTTTTAAACACTTCTACATGATGTTTTGAAGAGGTGTGAGGTACTTCTGTTGTCTGTAAGTCTTGGGCACAGCTCTCTGTGTGTGGCTACAACAAGGAATTTCAACTTTTTAGTTGAAAATTGATATTTTTCCTGGTAAATTTTCACTTCTCTGGATTGAGTAAATCCAAATTCAAAACATGTTTTGTTAAAGATGTTCCTTTCCACTGACACACATCCTGAACCAGGTAAAACCATAAATCTCACCCAAAAGATCAACTGTCAGCCAGAAGACATTTCAGCTTTCACCGAAATGTGGTTTAAAAGTTGAAAGACATTTAATATCTGCTTTCCAGAAGGGTTTTTGTTCATTTTTTACTACTTTTGGCTGCTGATCACAAAATTATTTAATTTTTTTTCCCCCTTTGTGGTTGTGAGGAGTTTGGCTACTCAGGGCTTACCCAGCCTTTCAGAATGTCTTGTGTGCATTCACAAATCAGACTGAAGTATGCTGGAAATGCAAACACCCAAATCCCACATAAACATTTATCACTGGTGCATGAAAACATGAAAAGCAAGACCTGAGATTTTTTGCCTTTCATGTCCTGGTTAAAAATACAAAGAATTAAAGCCAAAATGTAAACTGAATTTGTTTATTTGGCCTTTTGTTTCGGTTTTTTTTTGTTTATTTTGTGTGGGATCAGTGTGATGCCAGTCTCACAGTGAAGCCTGGTACCTGAATCTCTAGCAATTTGGTTTCAAATACACACATTTTTTTTTTTTTTTTAGGAAATAATTTCACAGGGTCTGTGAGTTCCCAAAGTTTTGCTGTTCCCAGTGTTACAAGACCACCTATTTGGCCAGCACTGGGTTTGAAGCAAAGCTCAGAAGCAAAGGCCTTGTTTGCTTGTTTGTCTTGCTGAATTTCCCGTGCTTTGCTGTCCTGTTTATCTTTCTGTTCTAATTTTGGATTATGAAGCAGATAATTCAACCCTGCAGTCCTCCTTCCCAGGAACCCACTAGAAAAATATTTATAATTGGGTATAAATAAACATTGTTTCGTTTTTGCATCTCGTAGCTAGAAAGCAGATTCATCTTTCAGTTGTTAACAACAAATCCTCATGCAGACTGAGATTTAAAAAAGCCAATTGGGTTTGCAGGGTATGTGCAAGAATCACAATTTTTTTCTTGCTTTTGTTATTTTCCTCCCATCCTTTCCCATAGAATCCCACAGATATTCATTGACACCAAGCTGAATGAAGCAGCTAAGCATAATCTTCTGCCCATAGTTTGGGCTTTAGGGGTCCCTAAATGCCTGAGCCCAAAATCTTGCACCAAATTCCAGTTAAATGACTAGAGGAATACCCTCTGGAGATCACTTCACTTGACTCATAATTTGATTTTTTTTTTTTTATTAACCTCTTCAGACTCACCAGCTCACCACCCAGTTTTAACAGGGTTGCTCCAGGCTCCACCTTGAAAGGGAAATGAGGCAGAGAGAAACAGCACATGCATTTCTTGAGACTGACCCACCACAGCCACATAAAAA